TTTGTTACAGGTTAATAAAAAAATAATTAATATCATTAATTTAAATACACGTATATCAATTTAAAAAATTAAAATAATTTCGAACTTACTTAAAATATTGTTTTAGGGGAAGTAAAATGTTTAATGCAGCAGTTACTTCGAGCAGTTGCGCATCTACACGATAATTGGATACTTCATAGAGATTTGAAAACTTCCAACTTGTTATTAAGTCATAAAGGAGTTCTTAAGGTTGGCGATTTCGGTCTTGCTAGAGAATATGGCTCCCCATTAAAAATATATACTCCGATTGTTGTAACACTTTGGTACCGAGCTCCTGAACTGCTTCTACAGTCTAAAGTAAATTTCTTTTCAAAATTATTTTAATTTATTATTTTAAAACAGTAAAATTTTATTATTAAAATTTTAGGAGTATACCACAGCAATAGACATGTGGTCTGTAGGGTGTATTTTCGGAGAACTTCTTCAAATGGAAGCACTCTTTTCCGGAAGGTCAGATATGGATCAACTGAATAAAATTTTCAAAGAATTAGGTACTCCAAACGAAAAAATTTGGCCCGGATACAATAAACTTCCTGCAATTCAAAAAGTTGCCTTTGCTGAATATCCTATAAATCAAATACGGAATAGATTTGGGACTATACTAAGTGATTTGGGTATCGACCTAATTAACAGGTTTTTAACTTACGACCCAGTTCAAAGAATAACTGCGGAAGATGCTCTTAAACACAATTATTTTAAAGAAGCACCTCTTCCTATAGACCCAGCAATGTTTCCAACATGGCCAGCTAAAAGCGAACAAGGACACAAAAAAGTTAACAATAGTCCAAAGCCTCCTAGTGGCGGTAAAGAATATAAACAATTGGTAAGACAAAAATTTATATAATTTTTAATTGTTGTAAATGTTAACAAACTGATAAAAAATGTATTATTTATTTTACAGGAAGACACTGATGATGATGTTTCTGCTGGAGGTTTCCACATGGGAGTAATCGAACGAAGAGTCAACACCATAGGCCCTGGATTTTCACTTAAATTTTAAACTTATTTAAGTTTTTTTTTTTTTTTTTAATTATATGTATAAATTAAATGTTTTACTTCTTCCTATTACCAAAATATGAATTGTCCAACTCTAAAAAGCCTATTAAAAACATCTAGTAAAAATTAAAAATGGCTTTAATTATTTAAATAATAAATTGCCTTATTATAAAACGAGAAAAATACATGATTATTTTAAAGTAAAAATATTTTCATACATTATTTATTTCCTTTAAAAATTTTTCTATTTCTATAATATGATGAAGCATTAAAAAATAATTAATAATTAAATAAGTTTGTTAATTTTTGTTTACGAATTTAATTCTAAGTAATTTTACATAAATTATAAAAAAATAAAGTATAGAGATTTTTTTATTTTTCATTTATAATAATTATTGAAAATTAATTAAGCAAAAAAGTTATTTTTATTATAACAGATGCAACAGCTGTAGAACAGAATAGATGATAAAACTAAAAAAAAAAGGTCTAACAAAACAAATACATTGTAAATTAATTTCAACTTATAGATATTTAAAATGCTTATTTATTATGTTTAAATTTAACAATGTAAATTAATAAATTCAATACAATATTAAATGGTATAAATTTTTTTACTTATTAAAAAATAAAAAAAATTTACACTGGTAATGTTTTTGAAATAGTTGTAGATAATGATGAAGAACAGAGCTTGGTAACAAAATTTATTCCAGTATAACCTCCTGGAACATAACTAAAAAGAAACCAGAACAAAGCTAAAATTTGCAAAATCGAACAAAATACAGTCAAAGGAGTGCTATGTCTGACTAATGCAAAATACAAAGTCAAAAACAAAGTCCCAAAATAAGTAGAAGTAAAAAGTAATCTTTCTTTGCTAAACAGGTGTTTTGCATGGTTGAATGGTCCCCATAAAAAAGAAAAACTTAAAATTAGGAATAAACTGCCTAAAGTAAATAACAATGAAAATTTTCTAGCTTTGAGCAAAAGGAATGGAAGAAGAAACATGGCTGCACAAAAAAAAAAAATTCCTAGGCTGATGCATATAAAAAATCCCACCAACCTTTGAATTCTAGATAGTTTAGGGCAGCAATCATTAACTGACAATTCACTCCATTCATTACCATGACTATTTTCATCAAGAGGTACTGAACTGTAAACATTTCCAGGTAATATAGAAGATTTTAAATTGAAAATTTTACTTTTTAAATCAGATGCTATAGAATTTTTTTCATTTCTTGATAAATAATTATTTAAATTTTCTCGAAGATTATTAGACGATGACATTCTTCGCAAAATTTCGATTCAATATTACTGAATATGTGAAATGATTTAAATGATTTAACAACCAACGTTAATAATGTTCTGTGTGTTATTCAACTCTTCCAGTAAACATTGCATTGTAAACTTCTAAATCTAATCTATCTTCAAAATTATAATAGAATTTACGTCCTGAAATAAAGAAAATTACTTGTAAATTAAAGTTAAATGGTAAATATTATAATAAAAATTCAATATCTAACGTCCTTCATAAATAAACACCTAATACAATTGTACATTCGCAAAGATATGCCAGAGACTTTATGTCAAATCTATTTTGATGTTACCTTGGAATTTATCTGAAGGCACGTTTTTTTTTTTTTTTTTTTTTTTTTTTTTTCCGTAGGAAAAAGTCAACAAAAATATAATCCGTGATCTAAGTTGTTTAGTTTGTTTTATAAGTTTAATGGAAAATATTCAAGTTTAAAATAGTTTATTTTCACAATGACAATCTTAGAAAAATATTTTTATTTTTATTTACACAAAGCTTTTTTTTTTGAAGTTTCCTTTCAAGTGTTAATTTTTACCAGTTTAATAGGCATTATTTTATGGTATGTATTTCGGCAAAAAATTCTTCGAGTTAAGGTTTTAAGTGAATTAGAAGAAGAAGAAATAATTCGAAATTTTCAACCTGAAGATTTAATTCCTAATGAGTTTGAAAAAACAAATTTATTAAATCAAAAAGTAGTTTCTTCTTTAGCCGGAAAAAATATATCAGTGAACGGTTTTTCGTGCTTAAATCTTGCTACTCACAATTATCTGAGCTTATTAGAAAATTCAAAAATACAGTCTCACGCCACACAAAGTATAAACAAATACGGAGTGGGTTCTTGTGGTCCTCGAGGTTTTTACGGCACCGTTGATGTACATTTAGAATTAGAAGAGAAATTAGCTGAATTTTTGGAAGTTGAAGAAGCTTGTGTGTATTCATATTCTTTTGCAACCATGGCCAGTGCCATTCCAGCGTATTGTAAACGCGGGGACATTATATTTGTTGATGAAGCAGTAAACTTTTCCATTCAAAAAGGCTTAGATGCATCCAGGAGCAATATATTTTATTATAGGCACAATAATATGACTGATTTGGAAGATAAATTAATAAAACAATCTAAAATGGATTTAAAAAATCCCAAAAAGGCTGCCAAAACACGAAAGTTTTTAATTACCGAAGGCATATTTGCAAACACTGGAAAAATTTGTGATTTGCCAGGTCTTATAAAATTAAGAAATAAATTTAAGCTTAGAATGTTACTTGATGAATCAGTGTCTTTTGGTGTATTAGGAAAAACAGGAAAAGGAGTTGTGGAATACTTTAATATTCCAAATATTGAAGTCGATTTAAGAATAGGAAGTTTGGAAAGTTCTTTGGCCTCGATTGGAGGATTTTGTTGTGGGACTTCATTTATTGTGGAACATCAAAGGCTTTCAGGCTTAGGTTATTGTTTTTCTGCATCTTTACCTCCTGTTTTAGCTGTTGCAGCACTATGTTCATTAGATTATTTGAAGAACAATCCCAATATATTTACCTCACTGAAGGATGTTAATCAAGCCTTGCATAAATCATTATCAAAATTGTTATATTTTGATATTTCTGGAGACCCAGATTCTCCAATCAAGCATCTGTATCTCAAAAACGAACAAGATTTTAATTCGGAAAAAAAAATTTTAAATAAAATAGTTGACTATTGTATCAGTAAAAATGTAGCTATAGGATTACCAGAATATTTAAACCACATTGAAAAATTCCCAGTAAGACCAAGTTTAAGAATAACTTCTAATATTTCATTAACAATATCGGACATTGAATTTGCTTGTGCAGTTATTTCAGAAGCTTGTAACACCAATCTCTCAGTGTAAAAATAAATTATTTTTTGTTATAAACTTCACCACTTTTTCATTTTTACTAATTACATTTAATTGTTAATTAAATGCAAAACAAATGATACTGCCTAGTTTTCAATATAAGTTTAAAAAATACATTAGTAAATTAAATTAAGCTTGTAAAAACTAACACACTCTCAATGTAATTAAACTACCATGAAAAGGTATTTAATTACAAACATTTTTTTAAAAAATTGTTATTAATAAATTAATGACTTTTTTTAAAAAAGTTGTTTTCATAATCTGTGCCTAAAAATAGTAAACTAAAGGTACAACAATTTATAGAAATAATTTTTTGAAATTATAGATTGTTTATGAAAAATATTTCTTTATATGTATTAAATAATAATAGTTCTTTTTCACTTTTTGAATAGTTTTTTTTTATTTAAATATTTTATATTATTTCAAATACTTTGTATATATCTCTGAAAGAGATATGCGATTCTTTTTAAAAAAATATTGAAATTTTTATGTTATGATAATGTAATTTATGGTACAAGTTTTAATTACCCAACAAAGAAAAAAAATTTTTTTATATTATTTAAATATATGCCTATACATGTTTTTTTTTTTTTTTTTAAGTTTTTGTAAATAACAATAAATTATGCATAAAAGATTAGTTGTTTTAACAATATATATAATTTGATGTATTGTATTTATTTGTTTTTTTTTTTTTTTTAAATAAAATAACTATTTTATAATAATTAATGTATTATTATGCATTTTGCTTAATTTTTTAAAATAATTTACGTATATTTCCAATTAAACCAAACCTATAAAATTAACTATATAATAATTGTGAGGAATAATAATTATTTTTATAAGAATTTTTCCCCCAAAAAAAAAAAAAATAAATTTTATAGAATTAATTTGATTATTAAAAAATAAAATCTTTGGATATTTTTGTATTCTTTCATATACACAGACTAGTTTGAATTAATTTTTAAGTTTTTACCTTTAAACAATTTGGCAACGTAGAGCCGGTTTTATTTTTTTAATTTAGTGGTTTCTAATTTGTTAAGTTTTAATTTAAACTTTATTATCATTTCTATTGTTTCGATCGAGAGTGTATAATTTTCTTATTAACTAATTTTGCCCTTCATTATTATTATTATTATTTTTAATTTAAATTAAAATGTTTAACTATGAATATTTAAAACGAAAGCCTGGATTCGCAACAAAAGCTATACACGCTGGTCAAAATCCTGAATTATGGTCTAACTGGGAAGTTATTCCACCAATATCAACGTCAACGACTTACAAACAAAAAAATCCAGCAGAACCGATAGAATTTGAATATTCAAGAAGTGGTAATCCCACGAGAAAAGTTCTAGAATCTTGTCTTGCTGCTCTCGACGATGCTAAATATGGATTGTGCTTTTCATCAGGGTTAGGTACAACCACCGTTCTTCTTTTTCTTTTAAAGGCCGGTGATAATATTATTTGTTGTGATGATGTTTACGGTGGAACCAACAGACATTTTTCAAAATGTGCTTCTAAGATGAATATCACAACTACATTTGTAGATTTAAATGATATTCAAAAACTAAAAAATTCTATTCTTCCTCAGACAAAAATGATTTGGATAGAAAGTCCTACAAATCCTCTTTTAAAAGTAATCGATATTCAAAATGTTGTTAATGCTGTAAGTAAACATAAAAATTTAATAGTAGTTGTTGACAATACCTTTTTAACTCCTTATTTTCAAAAACCATTGGAACTAGGAGCTGATATTACTGTCTATTCATTAACTAAATACATGAATGGCCACTCAGATGTTGTCATGGGTGCTATTTGCACAAATAATGAAGACTTATACAAACAAATATTATTTTATCAAAATGCTTTAGGAGTAGTTCCATCACCATTTGATTGTTATCAAGTTAATAGAAGTTTAAAAACTTTAGCCATTAGAATGAAACAACACATGGAAAATGGATTGGCTGTGGGTAATTATTTAGAGTCACATCCTCGTGTTAAACGAGTTCTTCATCCAGGGTTGCCTGATCATCCTCACCATTTAATTCTTAAAAAACAATGTTATGGTTATTGTGGAATGCTCTCTTTTTATCTTAATGGAGACATAAATAATTCTAAAAAATTTTTATCAGCACTTAAAGTGTTTGTTTTGGCTGAAAGTCTTGGAGGATTTGAAAGTTTAGCAGAATTGCCATCAGTTATGACTCATGCTTCAGTTCCAGAAAGTCAAAGAATTCAACTTGGAATTACAGATTCCCTTATAAGATTATCAGTAGGACTTGAAGATTCAGAAGATCTTATAAAAGATTTGGAGCAAGCATTGGAAAAAGCATTTTCATGAACATGATATTCTTTAAAATATTATTAAAACTTTAAAGTTAATAATATTAATAAATGGTTTTTTTTTTTTATAAAAAATACTTATTGAAAAACTCAAGTTTTCCTAGTATTTACTTTAAGCATAAAATTTAAAAAAAAAATTTTATTTAAAACACATTAGTTCTGCATAAGTACCTGAATTTTAAAATACAAAATTTCTTTTACCCACATAGATCCTACAAAATTACTTGGAAATCATTTAATGAATTGAAAGTCAATAACCTTTAATGTATTGAATGAATGCAATGAAACATAATAAACAACAACATTTTCTTTGTTTTTTTATCTTACCTGCCATTGAAATAATTCTCCCTTTGAATAACTTGTTTGCATAATCTTTTGTTTAAATAATTAATGACAAGATAAAACGTTTAAATTCCAGCTTTGGCACATGGCAAGTTAAACTAATATGTATACTTTTGAAGATCTCAACAATTGTTAAGTAAGAAAAAAATAATAATGATGTTAATAACAGAACCACAAAGTTTTATACCAGAAAAAATAAGAAAAACATTAAGTAATTTTGTGTTTCCGTTTATATGTAATACGATTTCATAAACAAAATATTAAACTTTATTATTAAAAATAAAAATTTTTGAAAGTTTATTCTGTTTTTGGTTTGTTTAAAGTGATTACAATTAATAAATAGGGATAATTTCCATTAAAGTAATAATTAAAAGTAATCTTCATCGAAATTACTTTCTGATGAAGGTTTTTTCACTTTCAAAATATTTTTTTTCCTTCTATTAAAAACAAAATCTTCATCGTCCATCATTTTTAGGATTTGAGATTGATCAGGTGTTCTTATAGGTGCTATAGAAATATCTCTTACGGCTCTAAAATTACCACAATTATTTAAATGTTCATTTTCTAAACGAAAATAATTCCAAACAAATCTTCTAAAAACTTCTAAAGGTGCAAATATAGACACAATTATATGAGAATGCATAATTCCTGCTTCGGTTAAAGAGATTGACAAAGCCCAAGTGTATCTTAAAATAAAATCTTCAAAAATGGCAAAATAATATGTCCAAGTTGAATAAATAATTTCTTCTCTTAATAATTTATTTTCTTCAGCTTTTTTATCAAATAAACCCCAATCTAATTTAACATCCCAATAATATGAATAACTGGAACTTATTAAAAGGGAGAGAATCCAAAAACCAAAAAATGTATTCTTAGTATGCGGGGTTTGATTATAAGAATATAATGTTGAAAATATAATAACAAAAAATGTTGTGCTGTATTTTGCTGCATTGGCCAAATGTAGACATTTATGATTTGTGTCTCTCATTCGTCTCAAACATTGGGCAAACCTAAACCAAGCTGGTAAAATTGTTATTAACGGCCTTACAAACATATATTTATTCCCACATAAATACATTTCGTCATAATCTGCATCATTCCAATTAAGGTCTAACCAACTTGTGTCAGAAGTATAAAAACAAAAGAAATATTGAAAATCTAAAAAAACAGGAGCTAAACTTGTTAATTGATCAGCCAACCAGAAATCGGCAAAGTTAACATAAAAAAATGGCGCAAAAATAATTCGAAAAAATATTTTTATCGCCCAGAAACGAGCATCGCGATAAAATGTCTTAGTTGGATTAAATATAAAAATAATCATAATAATAACTAAAACTAAAGGATTTACATAACGAGGTATACTAAAATCTTTACCGTATAAAAAACCAAGTACACTAAGGTTCCATATTACACCAAATATGGCGGCCATTTCAATTAAATTTTGTTCTGATAAATGATTCCTTGGATCTAATTCAAATATTAAAACGTGATTAACTCCCGAAGAACGCCACCCGTAAACATTAACTCCTATAAAAAATAAAAATTGAACTAAAAGAAGAGGACCTCTATATAAATGTATAGCTATTTTTAAATTAAAATCTTTTTTAAGGATGCTTGAAATAATGACAATAATGAGCAAAATAAAAAATGAACCTAAAAACCAACCAACTTTAAATGTCACCCAAGGACTTTGTTTTTCTCCAAGAGGTGGAACTCTTAAACGTTTCATTGCTTTTTGACGATTTCCTTTTTCTAATTCTTGTATAAATGTTATTTCAACATCTAAAATAAGTTTATCGATACTTTTATTTGTGTAAAAATTTGACGTTTCAATGACTTCCATTCTATACACCGTACCGTTGTTTACATTCAAAAGCTTGTCATGTTTTTTTAATATTTTTCGAAATCCGGTAAAATTAAGAGTTTGATAGTTTTGAAGTAGAATTAGATTTAAATAAAATTCACTAAATGCCAATTTTATACCCTGATATTTTTTAGAAGTTGCCGACCAAGGTTTTGTATTTTTCTTACCAGAGTTAATATCAATATTTAAATCTGCGAGTTCTGATTTAAGATTAGCATATTTTCGGTGAGCTTCGGCTAATTTTTCCGAAAAAAAAGTATTTATTTTTGTTAATTCTAAATCACAGTAATGAAAAAATTGCTCGTCCAATTTGGCTATGTATCTGGCGAAAACTTCGGGTTCGACTTCTTCAGCTGAAGGCGCTTGTTCAATGGAACTATGCAACAAATATTTCATTTTTTCATAATTTATGTATTGTTTTCGCCATTCCGGTGTTATATGAGCAGCCAAATGCTCGGTAAATTTCATTTGGCCGATTTAAACGACAAAAATTAAAATCACTTTATTTGTAAAGTAACATCTACTAAATAAAGTCAAACTTTATTTGCCAAATTTCTAAAAAAAAATCTACAGCCACGTCATTTTTAAATTTAGTCAACTTACAATTTAAAATTTCATAACCGTATACTTGCCACAAAAGATTGCCTACATATTAGATTACACGATATGTAATAGTAAAAATATTTCCTATTTTTTTGTTTTTTAAATTCAAACTTTGTATCAAACTAAAGAAAAAAAAATACAAGACCTTTCTAAAAAAAAGGAAAAAAATTTTAATCAATTTACAATATATTGATTCCAATAATTGTTTTGATCCTATTTAAATTAACATACAAGTTACCTTAATATTTTAAATTCAAGCATGAATATTACAATTCAAATTTATATTTAATTCCTTTAAATAATTCCACATTAATTATTTACATAACAGACGCACGCCGTGTCAAAGAACTTTAAAATAAAATAAAACTAAATATATGGTAAAATTATTCATTAAACAAATGATATTTTCAAATTTTTTTTTTTTTTTTCTATCTTACCAATGTGTAAATCATCATCAAAATTATAAAAATAATAAAATGTTTTTTCAATAAAATGCACTAATTTAAAATAGTATAATTATTAATAATACACAAAACCTATACGAATGTTTCTTATAATTATAAAAGTTATATACTTTTTTTTTTAAATAAAAAATTACCTTGAATCTTCACAGAAATATCTACACAAAAAAAAATTTAGTTTCAAAAGAAAACAACCTAAGGTTAATAATAATTTCTTTTACGGATACTTTTATTATTCACTTTAATTTTTTCCCTTTTAACGAATTTAAAGAATGTAATCTAATTCATATCGAATATATTGATTTTTTGGATCATTATGTATTCTAGGATACCCAGCCACTAAAGCATCCTGACCTCCGATATAAAGAGAATTATAAATTTTCCAATAAACATCTCTCACTTTACGAGCGGGATGAAACAGTCCCTAAAAAAAAAAAAAAAAAATACGTAAAATTTGGATAATTACGCGTACCATAAATTTTGTTTTCGAAAGTTTTAGAAACCTCTGGAGTATACGACAGAAATTTCATCCTTGCCTTAATTCAACTTTTACTCCGCTGTACTTGTATTAAAATATCAGTTAAGAAATTTTGTAAAAAAAAAAAAAAAATTTTTTTTCACCTACCTGTAATGAATATTGCAGTATTTTTATAGAGCCTAAAGCAACTCGTAAACCTTCGATGGCATCCATAAATGCTTGCACCAAATGAGGGCTTGTTTCAAATATATTTGGCCAAACGTGATTTAATAAATGAATGAGAGCATCTTCGCATCCAAAACCATAAACTCCTAGAGCCATGTGTTTTATGGCAGCACAAGCCGTTTGTCGATGAACCAAATCTCTGAAAGTCATTTTAATAATTAAGAATTCAATTTTTAGTCTCTTGAAATGATTACAAATAGTAATTTTACAAACCTATCCATCAAAGCATCTTCCAGAAGTGGGCATACTGCATATATATAATCTTTTCCCATTTCTCCTATGTACTCGAATAAAAAGGACAAGGATTTTAATACTCCATTTTGAACATTTAATTCTGGAACTCTATACTCATTCATTAAAGCTGGCAAAACGGTAAACGGAGAGCAAGTTTCCGCAACAATGGCTATAGCAACGGTCGTGCATACTCGATTTTGTCTTTCCTGAACCTTTAAATTATTTAACAAAGTTGCCAGTACATCGTGAGGTCTGTAATAAACAATAGCAGAATATTAACAATAAACTACGTAGGATGTAGCTTTTATGACTTATTTTAATTAAAAATGTATTTAGGTTTTTATAGCATGCATGTAAATAATATAATACTTACCCAATGGCTTTGGCAATGTATCCAAAAGTATTGACAGTAGCTCTTCTAATTGCTTTTTTGTGAGCTTTAAGAAGTTCCAACAACTCGAAGCAAATTCTCATCCATTCTCTAGCAGAAACATATTCAGGGCCTCTGTCAGCTATTCTTCCAACTAAATCTATACAATTTTCCTGTACTTTTTCGTGACGATTTTTCAATATTGGTGTCAATCTCGGAAGTAAATCTTTTATGGGTGGTGTCATTTTGGTCATCCCTATGACGTTTACAATTGCTTTTAACGCTCCAAGAATAGACCCCAAAACTTCTGGATATTCTTCTCCCAGATATTCGTATAAAACGACACCCAAGTGACCCATTAGTTTTTCTTCTTGACAAGTTTTCATTACAACCGCTATCCGCGAAATAAGGTCGGCCGCTTGCTGTCTTACTTTGGCGCTTTTATTATTTAATCTCCATAAAATTGTTCCACATATTTGAGGTAAGTATGGTTTAACTCTTTTACCAAGTTGATTCACTATCGTGCCAAAGCCGTTTAACATGACTACATCTTCCGTGGTTTGCTCTTGGAAAGCATACAGAATTCCATCAATTAACTGCTCTTCTAATCTTGAATCGATATCGGCAGCCCCTAGATTGCTCATAATTTTTTCTATTGTTTCCATAACCATTTTTCTGTATTGCTCATTTTCATCTTTCAAATCATCCACTACGCGATTTATCATTTCTGAAGATCCAACTTTATTAGCTATTTCTACTGTCGTGTCAACAAGTTGTCTGTAATTTCTTCGATCTAAAGCCATACGATGATTCCAAAAATGTTTGAAAAAGTGAGGTAGAATTTCGTCTTTGATGTACTGTGCTTCTACACCATCCGTTCCGCAACATTGTTTAACGACTTTTAAAACGATTTTTTTCATTTCTTCATCGGGAGATTGAAACTCACGAATCAAAATAAGCATTACTTCCCGAGTATAATAGTTAGCATATTCGGCATCCATCAATGGAATTAAGTACCCGATTGCTTTAAGGAAAGCCGCCAAACCTTTTCCTCTATGGGTTCGGATACCTCTCCAAAGAGGTTTCAAAACGGAATCGAAACTTTCTATACCGTAAGGCGTGGCAGCTTCAGCCAATGCAGCTATCGCTAAAGCAGTAATAGTTTTTACTTTTTGCTGTTCGTCTACCAATCCATGTTCTATGATTTCAACAAGTGACTTTAAATGAGGTAAAATAGCGCAGCCCATTAAAATAGCTATTTGTTGAACAATTTTTATTCCTGTATGACGAGCTTGCCATGATTTTTTAGATCTGCAAACCGCCTTTAAGAAAGGTAATAAACTAGGAATTCCTAAAGCGGATGCAACAACAGCAAATGCACGTGCAGTAGTGTTTCGAACGTATTCATCTATGTTATCAATATCCGGACGCATAGTTGAAATCATTGTTGCCAATCCGGCTGCTTTGGCTAAATTCGAAATTATTTCACGACCTTCTACACGAGCATAGTAATCTTCATCAATAAGTAGTGGTTCTATTACTACGAGTATCTAAAATTAAATATTATAAAAATTAAGCAAATCTTTAATTTAAATCTAACGCGAAGAATTTTTGATGTGGTACGTACTTTATGAACGTAAGGCCTAACTAAGTCGTCCAACTTGTACAAAATCCTATCAATAACTTTCACCAGCAAATGACGTTCTTGATCTTCGAGAGTGGGACTCATAAGCAAAGGCAATATTTGATTAAATAAAGGCCCGGCACCGAATTCCCTTGCTTTGTCTGTGATTTGTCTAAGAGCAGCCTTTCTCATTGGAGGAGTACCATTTTTTATTTTTAAAAGTAGCTTCATTATTTTCCTTTCTTTTTGTTCGTCCGGAGATAAAGTTTCTTCGTCAACATCCACAAGAAGTTTATCGAAATATTGGGCATCTTCTGGTTTCATAAAAGGTAAGTTTCCTTTTGGTTGGTTATCCATATATTTGGCCATTTTATCTTCCTGTTGGATAAAAAAACCCGTGGTTGTACCTCCTAAAGGAGTTGGAGTAGCTGTAAGCTTTCTTGCTGGGGTTCTTATGGGTATATACCTAAAAAAAATATTTTATTTAAAACAAAATTTATAAAAAATGCAAATTTTTTAAAATTCTTTTAACAAATATTTAAAATTGATATCAAAGGATTTCACGACTAAGACAGACAGGATTAGGCTCAAAAAATAAAAGAGTAAATGATTGACGAGAGGAATTGGGTCATAAACTGTTTTATCTCAAAAAAAAAGTGCCCATTTTAGTGATGAATTGTGATTGATTCTTGCAATCATCAGTATGTATTATGTAACAATTAGTATGAGTTGGTTCCGGAATAACGAAAAAATAGCCTGTAGAAGTTTTTTGACTAAAATTTTTTCAAAATCCAAAAGAAAGTTAACAACATTAATATCGTACAGAATAAATAAACTTTTTTAAAAATATTATTACCCAGCCGGAGGCTGAAGAACTTTATATCCGGGCGGAAACATTGAGTCCAATTCGTCATCACTGTAAGGACGATTTCGCTCATCTATTTCCCGCTCCCATCTGTAAGCTTGAATCTGTTCAGGAGTCATAGCTGCCAAGTGTCCTTAAACAATACCAGGCGAGAAAATCAGATTTTTAACAATTAAGAAAAACAAAAAACCACAAAACTAAAAAATTTTTTTTACCTGGAGTCGGAGTGGCCATAGCCATAGCTTTTGCTCCTGTAGGTGTTGCAGTGCCTGGAGTCATCATAGATGGTGTCGCTCCGTGAGGTGTAATAGGAGTTCCTGAAACAAAATGTTACAGTGAAAAAAAAAAACGTTTTATTTTTAAAAATGACTTGAAATAAATTTAATCTTTTACCAGGAGTTTGAGGAGTTAGACCAGCAGGAGTTGCTAAACCACCTGGTGTAGTAAGTGAAGGAGTTAACTGAGCTCCAGGAGTTTCATCCCAACGAGACCTTCTTTTACTGGCAGACGGTGTAGGTGTTTCTTCAATTAATTCTCCTGTTGTTCCTGTACGATCTGTCCGAGGAGTTTCAGCCCAACCCGAATTGTGTCCAGGTGTTTCTATTTAAGCATAAAATGAAATACGAAATGAAATACCGTAAGAATTCAAAAATATTTATATGTTTTAATTCTTGCGCATTTATATGTTCTTAAACAAACCTCTTTCCGTTTTTGGTGTTTCGTCCCACCTATTTCTTCGGCTTGAAGCTCCCTTTTCATGTCCCGGAGTTTCTCTCCCTGGAGTAGCAGCACCGGGTGTGGCATGACCAGGGGTTGCGTCCCACATTCTAGTACTTTGACCAGGTGTGGCACCGGGAGTTTCACTCCCTTTAGGGTGACCAGGAGTTTCATCCCACTTAGCATGAGCTGGTGTAGCCTTTAAAGTAATTAAAACAATAAAATTTTAATTTTTAAATATGAGAAAAATTAATTTAGTAATTTAGTAATCAAACATCTTACGTCGTCTTTATCAAAAAAGGTTGCAGTTATTTTTTTCTTTGAAGGGGCTACTTCAACATCTTGTACTTGATCCCATCGACCACGTTTTTTCATTCCCGCCACAACTTTGTTATTTGTATCACCATTTGTGATTTTTAAAGTACCATCTTTAGATTTCTCAGCGATTTTTTTGCGAACCTAAAATTCAGTTAATATGACTCTTTTAAAATTTTATATTTTTAAATTAATAAATCATTTTTAATAAGTTATAAACATTTTATAAAAAAAAAAAAAATAATAATAATCATCCTTACTTCTGATTCTTCGCCACGAAGCATTTGTTCTTTCATAATTTCAGTATATGACCTGGATCCTACATCTGGAGTTTTACCTCCTGTAAAATAATGCAAAAAAACAATTATTAAACAATCAAAATTTATTAAAATAAATTTTTAATTTTTTTACACATAGTTTTTCTTTCTCGTTTATATTTTAAGGAAAGAATTCCAAGCATTTACATAATGTTTAAAAGAATATTAATTATTTATTCCTATAAAAATTAAATACATTAATAATTCGGTAGTACATGATTGAAGAAATAAATTCATAAGTAAAAAAAAAGCCTATAAAAATTAGTAAAATTTTTTACATTGAAAATATTTTTGATTGTTTTTTTCTTAAACTTTTTTTTTTTTGTTAAAGAATGAATTGTACATTAAATTTAAGTTTATTTAGTTGATGATTCCAAAAACTGCTTTAAAAATTCATTAAATTTTTGCTAAAGGTTTACTTTTGTTTTTTTCTAATTTTTTTATTTTGCAGCACCTGATAAAAAAAAAAAACTTTTGTTTTATCAAACTTTGGTTTTGTATAAACTAGAAAAATTTTGTTTTAATTTAAAAGAAATATTTAATATTTCTAAACATTGACATTTGAAAAGAAATATCACACTGCTGAAATTTAATAAATTTTCCTGCATTTAATACAAATATGTTAATCTAAAACGATTATTTTATCATCATATTCACAATTTTAAATTTTGAGCTCCCCTTCCTTGTAGAAATTTATATTATACTTTAATTAGAACATTTTAAGATATTTTTAATATTAAAATTTAAATTATAAGAAAACAAAAGTAAAACAATTTTTATTTTGAGCAGTTCCAATACATACTTTTTAAAAAGGTCGAATCCTTAGAGAGTTTATGATGCAATACAACTTCATCTCGATGATTCAAGTGAACCTAAAATAAGTCTGGGGCATTAATATCTTGATGTATCACTCACACTAACATACACTCTGAATATGCAATAATTGATTGAAAAATATTTAAAAAAAAAAAAACACATTAGATGAAAAAAGTAAACTACATTATTAAGTAAAAATACTTTCGAAAAATAAGTAATGATTCAATAAAAACATAAATGAAAAAAACGATTTATTGAAGAATTAATAAAAAAATTAAATTAAAAAGTAATGAATTCTCAAAATTAATAATTTAAAAAATGAAACGAATTTGCTCTCTTAAAACCTAACGAAAAATACTTAATAATATATATTTATAGAATATACACTAAAAAATGTAGAATCAAAATGTTAATAGTTTTAAATAATTTTTTTTTTCTCAAAAAAAAATTTTGAATTAAAATTACGAAAATTAAAACAAAGAATAGTCTAATGTTACTATTTTAAAATAAAGAATCTTTTATTTATTTTTTAAAAAAAAATTAAATAAAAAAGTTTCGAATTCTATCGAGCTAATAAAATAAATTTTTTTCTAATTTTTATTATTAAATAAATATAAATTAGATTTTTCCTAAAATTCACAGCATTTTTTTTTCGTTTTTAAAAAGAAACATTACAAAAGATTAATCTTGATAATTTTACAGAGGCGCTTTCACTCAAATACACTCATACCCCAAACCAATATTTTGTTTTACAAAACAAAAAAAAAAGCTCTAACTGAGTTAATATCGAGTTGTATTAAAGTAATTATCTACCCTTGATGATAATTGATAATAACATATTACAACATAAATGTAGATATTAGAAAATAACATACCTTCAGCAAATGGATCAATACGATCAGGTGAAATAATCATCCTTCTCCTTTTCTGTCTGTATTCATCTTCTTTTTCAGCAATTGTAGGTCTCCTAGTTTCAGCAAATGGATCATAGTCTTTTTCACTAACAGCTATATCATTAAGCAATGCAACTGGTGCATTGTATTCAGGTTTTTTTTGTGTAAAAGTGGTTAATTCATAATCATCATCCTTGAAATAAAAGAAAAGGTTATTAAGAAAAAAAAATTTTTTTTGCACTCTAAATAACCTAAAATAAACATACATCAACTTCATCATTAGCAGCTATAGATGTGACATAACCGTCAAATTTACTACCACCTCTATCGTATATTTCTTGATCAAAATACCCGCTTTCTCCTAATCCAATTCTACTTTTGTCATTAATACCATTTTCATCATTAGACAATTCCTTTTTCTTAGCTTGGATTTCTTTTATACGCGCTTCAATATCTAAAATATTAAAAAATATTTTATATAAATTATTTTAAATTTTAATTCTTATGAAACTAAAATAAACAAATTTAAATTCCGAAAAAAATTTATAAATTTATACTAAACATAAAATATTAATATTAATCACAAAGTGCTTTATAAACTTTCAAATAAATACCTTCGTGCGTCCTAGGAATATTCGCCATTTTTAAAGTAATGGTTGCCAACTTTGTTTAGAAGTGGCACCAGCGATTTTAAATTTGTTATGTTTTGATCTTGTGTGGATGATGGACATTGATATTGTAAACTCAAATTTTATTTAACGATTTTTATAAAAAAAGGTAATAATTAATTTTTTTTTTTTTTTTCGGTAAACAACCTTAACAAATATTTTATTTAATTTGAAATTTTTTTTAAAAATTAAATTAAGTTTTCATTTATGTTTTGCATTAATTAATATTATTAATGCTACATTGCAAAAATACGAGCAAAATATGACATTAGAAATTTTTGAATTTATTTCCTTTATATTTTTATAAATATTATAAAATAAAAAATCATGTTTTTTAAGAAAAAATTGTTATGTTTGTTTTCTATTTTATTACCATTTGTATCGTCATCTAGATGTTTAAATTCATAAGTTTACTATAAATTAATTAAAATTAGGAATGTCTTAATTATTGTGCTTTTTACAAAGCATTTCAACAGTTTGAATAAATATTTTATAAAATTTATTTTTAGTAAAATTTTGACTCAAAAAAGTTACTTTCACATGAAAGTAGCAAAACCTTACTTATTTACTAAATAATAAATGATACATCACAAATAGTTAATAAAACAGTAATGAATGTTAAAATTCAGGTTACACAAAATATAAACATTTATGATGAATATTTTTTCATCAAAATTTAAATACTAACACAGTTGAAATAGTATTTTTTTAAAATTGTCATATTCTTATTCTTAAAAAGAGTTACCTTTAAAATTAGGAACAGACAACAGTTATTTCTCACCTTAAAATAATACAACAAAAACAATGTAGTGAATATTAAAATAAAATATAATAATACTAACAGTAAATATATGATATAAATAATTAGAAGATAATATTTAATATTAATAAATATTATATATGCAATGAAAAAAAATTTAATTTGTGCTATGCTACTAATATATAAATTAATTTTTAATAGTTAAATTTTTATAAAAATAAAGTTTTCAAGAATAAGATATAAGTAAGTTGCTAATAAAAAATCAAAAGTAAATATAAAAGCAAATTTTATTTAATAAAAACAAAATCATAATTACTTAAAATAATTTCACACAATTAATATTTCTTAAAAAAAAAAAAAAAAAAACTGTGTAAAGTATTAAAAAAAATTAATATTATACAAAATAAAAAAACTTAATTTTACACTTATAAATTATCAATTTTTAACTTTACATTAAATTTGATAATTTAAAGAAATCTACTGCACTTTTCACTGGATCACACTTAAGTAGCTTAAAATTACTGAATTAAAAATTTAATATAAAAAAAAAAAAAATTAAATAATTTTTTTATTTAATTTTTCACTGAAAATATTATACAAGTTCATCAATCATGAACTATAAATAAAAATTGTAATTTTTTAAAATTTAAATATCATGATGTAATTAATAATAATTGTGAGCAAAAGTTAAAAAAAAAAATTCATTTTTGGAAGATATTTTACTGAAAAAATTTCTACTGGAAAAAAATATGCTAAACCAATTAGTGTAAAAAAATTTAAAATCAAACTGAAATAATATGTAAAATTACGAAGTTTATTATTATTTTTGTTAAGCAGTTCACAACTACTCTGAAATATATTTTCATTAGATTTTGAGTTAGATGAATTAGAAAATGATCCATATCTACATGTAGAAAAATTAAAAGAAAAAGGTATTTGATAGTTAATTGGATCTATATACGAATAAAATGGCGAATGTCGAATAGGGGTTGAAAAATTTTGAAGTGGTAAAAATGTTGGAGAATAATAATTTGAATTTAATTTTTTATGATTATCACAACAATCACAGTAACATTGTTTCACAAATGATCCTGAAGATGAGAAATTTAAGGGTTTGTTTAATTCAAATCTATATTGATCTATTTTTGAATAAGAATAACCTGTGCATGGAGTTGAACTTCTTGAAGATGATTCATTAAAATCTAAATTTGTCCAAGAATTAGATAAATTTCTGATAAATTTTGCTGGTTTAATGACAGTTTTTGGAGATATTTTTTTTATTGAAAAATTATTACCATCAAAAAGAAAATTTGAAGTCCTGTTTTGTTTTCTATGATTTTTACCCAAGTTCAATTCATTTAAATGATTATTAACGTCATCTAGAGCAAAACAAAATTTTTCACCGACACTTGATAAATTTTTAGATTTTAAAATATTTTTATTAATGCTAGAAGTAATGTTTGAATGACATTTTTCATGAAATTGTATATTTAATTGTGACTCATCAAATACTTCACTTTCTTTTACATTTCGTTTACTTGGCAACATTGTGCTGTCAATAATTGATTGTTGTATGCACTTACTTGCTTGTTTAATATCATCTTTTTCATTCAAACATAAATCACTACTTGCTTCAGCTATTAAATCCTGACTTAAATTTTTCATTTTTCCAGTTCTTTGCAGCTGGGAAAATGAAAGATTACTATTTTTTGAATCATTATCAGCTTTATAGTCGGACTTTCTGGGAAATGATTTTTCAAAGTAAATTTTCTTAGAAAGTCCAGTTTGATAATTTAAAATTGTAAGTACTCCACACATTAGAATTTGTAGTTCTATATAATTAGACCAGAATAGTAAATACAGAAATCCCCAAAACAAATTTTTTATGTAATTTTGTAAACAGTGACTTTCAAAATTAAGCATCAAGGAAGTTAATATTCCAGCTAACGGTATTTCAGCTTTATATTTGTAAATTATATCTAAATAAAATAAGGCTACCTGTAATATCAAAAAATTTGTTAAAACATAAATGCGATATTCATTGTAATAAAAATTATTTCGAGTAATAAACACTTTACTAACCTCTGAAATAAAGTGCCAAGAGTCCAAAGATTCAAAATTAGGCATATATAGGTTCACAAAATTGATTTTAGTATCATAATGAACAATTAGTGCCAAAGTTAATAATAACGAAAAAGTATTATTTATATGCCTCAGAATAAAAAAAAAATTTCTTTTCCAATTTCTAAAAACTTTTTCACTAAACATTTTTTTTTTAAATTCATTGTTATTTTCTCTGATGGACTCTTTTGAAATTTTTGCCTCACTTGGATTAATATACTTTTGATCACCCAATTTTTTTTCTAAAATTTTTTCACAACTGTGACACAATTTATATGCTTTTTCTAATTTTTGCCTAAAATTATAATTATTTTCAATTGTAAAATAATAAATTAATTTAATAATTTAAAAATATTCTATGATAAAAAAAATTAATATGAGCTTAAACTAAAGCTCATTAATTATATTTCAAAATATAACGATTAAAAGAAAATATAAAACATACCTGTACTCCTCGACTTCATCATCATAAAATTCCTCATTAAGAGGAACAAATAATGCTAGCTGTCGAACTTTAAGTTGTTGATTAATATTACATAACTTACACAATCCATTACTTAAATTTTGATCTTTTTTTCTGGTAATACTTGAATGATTTGAATTACACAATATATTTTGATTTAGTTTTGAATTATATTGCTCTTCTATATCTTTATTATAATCCCCATCCTATAAAAAAAAAAAATTTATAAGAAAAAATATAAAAGCTGAAAGCAATTAATTATTAAAGTAACAAATGTTATATTACCTTTGTAAAGCCATTATACTGCTCACAATGGGAACAGACCCAACTATTACGTAAGTCATATGAAACTTTACT